CCAGTTTCTCATCTTCGTTAGAAACAAGTCGCTACAGAAAGGTTAGAGAACTTCGAACCCCTAACCTCGAAACTCTGACGCTGACACAACAATCGCATCCCTTACTATGGATATCGCACAAAGAAATTTAACCTTCTAAATTAAACCTGTAGTGCGACCAAAATCCTTACGAAATTCTGTTTTGTATTCTTACTTATTCTCAGCTGTAGACCTAGATTATGGAAGTAATTGACATTGGGGAAAAGGCATTTCGAACACAAATTATCTTAAATGTATGAAAATCGCGGTTGACAGAACCAGGAATGTCGCTTCAATGAACCGTATATCTGGAAATTTCGTCACGCGCATTTGGTGTAAAAACCGCAATATCTAATTTCAGCTATATCATATTTTTGGTATTAATGAGCAATGAATATATATAATGTTACTTTTTTCTAAACTAGACGTCGCTCGTTCAATATTTGCCACTCATTCAAATTCGGAAATAGCGGAAATTAAATACCGGCGAGAAAAAAAAAATCGTTATACGGTATCTAGAAACAGATGATATACAAAGTAAATAATGTGTTCTATATAGTGTTTACGGTGTTATAATCTCGCGGAGTTATATTTAACTTGGTGCTTTAGAGAATGGTGATTGTATAGATATGCAAAATATTATGGTCATTTTTTTTCATTGTTTATCAGCACGATGCAAATAAATAAACAACTATAATGTTCTTCGATTTGAAATAACAGCACACATTATTTAAAATGTGTTTTTGAGGGGTAGGGTTAAATTGAGTTCAAGCTGACTATTTTTCTCTCTCTCGTGTTCAATTGTCGATAAGAATACATGTGTATACCTCTATCGGCACGTAATTTGATATGAGCATTACACTGTATCACTAGACAATCTCACAGGACGTCTTTGGACATTGTTACCCAGAACAAACAACTTCATTTCGTAAACAACTGATAAAACGATTGTCTACAACTACACTGGGTTGTAAAGTCCAGCTGATCTATGTGGGAACTCTGGATGTAAATAGGACCTCGGTACAGCTTTATAATGTACACAGTATTTCGTTGTAAAGCACTTCAGGACAATTTAAAAAGTCTATGTCAACATAGATCACATAAAGAGAAAAAGTTAAGATACTTAAATAAAAAGGACAAGCTAAAGGACATGGTACTCTGCCAGGAATTACTATGTCTTATGTTCTCCGTGACGACAAGAAATACATAGGATTTTTCTCTTTTGCTGCACCTGATCCAGACCAGCTTCTTGCGAAGCACTTTCATCTGTTCGTTTAGCTGGTGGATCGTTCGGTTTGTTGGTAGGTCTGTAGACAAACACCAGCCTGTAGATATTAACCGCATAGGAAAACTACGAAGTAAGTTTATTATATCTTATGTACAAGGTATAGCTAATGCATTTTGAGCAGGGATAATTAACTAATGGTAATTAATATTAGGAAATGCTGAAATTATACAGGAATTAGTGTTATGTTGCGCTAAGATGTTTGATATTGGCTGATATTGTAATTGCGTCTTTGTAAAACGATTGAAATTCACTATTTGGTTGGAAATATGAACATGTAAGACTAAAAGTATGTGAGAGAAGTGTGATTTTGATTTAAACATATTTTATTGCATAAATTGTATATACAAATGGATTGGGCACAAGTTTACAAACTTATATAAAGCCCGTTCCAAGATAAATAACAGACACATATAAATGCAAAAGATGACCTATTCGAAATTTACAAGATACAATTATATATACAGAGAGAGAGAGAGAGACAGAGAGAGAGAGAGGGGGGGGGGGGGGAGAAAGAGAGAGAGGGGGGAGAAAGAGAGAGAGAGAGAGAGAGTACATCTACAAATGTAGTGAAAAAGGAACAATAGCGATATGGTCTAACCCAACCCAGGTGACAATCACATTCTTTATACTATTCCACTCTTCCTAGCGTTCAACTTGTCAATGTCTATCAAAAACCGTGCCACCGATGTCCTTCTCCTTGGTCCATGCTGATCCTTCTGGAAATAACATATCTCAACCGATTGTCACCCGAGTTGGGAAGGAACGATTATAATTTACTATAGAGTATAATTTAAAACCGGTTTGTATTTATAATAAATCTTTGGGTGGATTGGCATATAGTTTCGTTTTCCTGGTTAGTCAGCTCGGAGTTTCCAAATAATAGAAGGTGGAGGTCTAGTGGAATGAAATCATTAAGCTCACGATAAAGTTGTAGGCGTTGGTAGGCATAATTATTACATACAAAAAAGAAGTGATGAGCATCTTCGATATAGTGTCCACATTGACAGTGTTTATAATTAATTAAGTTAGCATGAAACAAGTCATTATTTAAAGTACTGGATCTGTTACGTAATCTGGCATGCAGGATGTTAGTTTTTCTATCACCAATAAGAAAATAGGGCGGAATTCGAATGTCTGTGTTTTTACGGAGAGAGTGTTTAAAGACCGAATATGTTTCACTTTGTCGGATATCGTGATCTAACTGATTCCAAAGATGAATAGTAGAGGGAAAGAAAGAAGATTTTGTGAGTTGTAGACGGTAGTTTGGTATGGAGTAATTATTGGCATTTCGAAGGTTATAGGGTGAATTTTCTGAGACTAAGGAGGGAAGAAGAGTGGATAAATAATCAGGTGTTAAGTTATTTTTGATTTTATAAAAAAGCTGCAATTTCCTTCTAGAGCGTCTAAAGCAAAGTGGTTCTAACCCACATTCAGAATATAAGGAATCTCTGCTCGTATAAGATGGTAACCCCGTAATCACACGAGCAGCCTCTAATTGAAGTTTTTCTAATTTGTCTGCGTCACCGAGAGTACATCCACCCCATACCTCACAGCAATATTCTAATAGTGGAATAATATAAGAATTATATATTCTATACAATGTTTGTCTACCTAGAATAAATTTAAGTTTTCGCAAGATACTAATCTGCTTAGATACTTTTTTACAAATGTCCTCAATATGACTTGTCCATTTACAATTCTGGTCAAATGTTACCCCCAAATGCTTATGATTATCTACAAAATTCACACTAACATTATCAAATTTTATATCTATCGCGTAGTCTAATTCGGAATTATGGATAAGTAATGCTTCTGTTTTAGTTGGATTAAACTTTACTAGCCACTTTCTCGCCCAATTTTGAATTTGTTCTAAATCATCATTTATTACAGTTTCAACGTTGTAAGGGGATGGGTTCGAGTATAATAAAGAAGTGTCATCGGCAAATAATTTTGAGAAACTCTGAAGATTATAGGTTAAATCATTAATATATAAAATAAATAATAGGGGACCAAGTACTGAGCCTTGTGGAACACCCGCATTAGAAGATTTAATAGAGGATTTAGAGTTACCCACGCAAACTTGCTGTTTTCTTTCACTTATATAATTAACAAGCCAATTCAAAAGTTTACCCCGAATACCATAATTTGCTAGTTTCACTTCCAGACCCCTGTGCCACACACGATCAAACGCTTTCGATATATCGCAAAAAACTAAACATGTAGGTTGCATTTTTTCTAGATTTTCGCATAAAGTATGATAAATTTCGATAAGTTGATGTACTGTCGAGTGACCAGGTTGAAAACCAGATTGGAACTTGTATATCAGTGAATTTTCTAGTAAATAGTTATTAAGGTATTTTACAACTAATCTTTCAAAAACTTTACCAACAGTGCTTAATAATGAAATTGGCCTGTAATTAGCAAAATTGTGTTTGTCCCCTTTTTTGAATAATGGTATCACTAATGCATGTTTCCACATTTTAGGAAAAACCCCAGTTTCCAGAGAGGATCTAAAGATGAGAGATAGTGGGAAAGCTACTGATACTGCTGTATTTTTTAACATATTATGACTGATTGTGTCTATACCTACAGCTTTATTCACATTTAAAGATTTAAGTATGTCAATTACGTCCCTCAATTCAAAATGTATATCTGATATTGTCGAGTCTGTCCGTAATTCTACCGTCGGAGATTCTATATTAATGTCGTCTATAGTAGAAATGGAAACAAAGTAATCATTTAAAATATTAGCTTTGCCATCATCGGTCATTTCAATGTTGCCATGAGTATTTCTAATAGGGGGTATAATGTTTGATTCGTCTGAAGATTTAACTAATTTACGTACAATTTTCCAAAAATTTCTAGGATTTGAATTCGAGTATCGATCTAAAATTCCATTTATATCAGCATAAAAAAATTCTTTTGTTCGTTTCTTCAAGTTATTCACATGATTACGTTGTTTCCGAAAGTTAGATAAGTTGTTGTTGGAGCGGTTTGATTTATACAATTTCAACAGTCTATTCCTTTTCCAAATTTCACGTCTTAAATTTGAGTCAAACCAGGGTTTGTCATTAGGTCTAACGGTCACCGTCCGAGTCGGTATACATTCCCTAGCTATGTCTAGGTATCGCGTTGTAAAAATTTCACACATATCGTCAGGAGAGTTAGCAGTCGCAAATAAGTCTACCCAGTCCGTATCGTTTAATTTATTATTAAATAAGTTATAATTTGCGTCATTGTAGCATCTTATAGTTCTTTTATAAGTCTTCCTAATACTAGTCCTAACTGTCAATTCAACCGTTGTCGCGCTATGGTCAGAGATGTCACTGTCTATATCTATTACGTCGGTGTAGCTAAAACTGCACGTGTCAGACAGAATAATCGGGTCAAGTAAGGTCGAGCTTGTACGTCCTACACGTGTCGGTCTTTGAACGATATTCGATAGATTAAAGGAGTCAAGGATATCAACAAATACATGATTATTATTAATAGTTAAGAGGTCAACGTTGATATCACCAACGATTACTACGTGTGAAGTTTCATTAAAAGCCGTTTCAATTGAGTGTCGGAAGTAATACCAGAAGGAACGATCACAATTAGGAGGTCTATACACAGTACAAAGAAGATATTTTTGCTCTGAAAACTGGAGTTCTGTCCAAATAATTTCACCCACCCGGAATTCCAAATCAGCTCTATGACGGGTGCACAAGAGCCTGGAAGCGTAAACAGCTATCCCCCCACCCGGAGACCCACGATCTTTACGGTATACATCATAATCACTAAGGAGTATATCAGCGTCTACGGTGGAGTTATCAAGGTGAGTCTCGGTGACACAGACAATATCATAATCTAATGCTATATTTTCTAGAAATGATAATTTGTTTTTCAGACTTCGAATATTTAGATGAAAGATAGAAATGTCGGTTTTCTCGATAGGGCCGGGGTTAGGATGGACATCGTTACATGACAGGATGAGAAGTTGTAAAATTAATAGAAAGCAAGAGTTGTTAGTAATGGCAGACAGAGTAGCGTGAATGGCTATTAATAAAGAAGTAATGATACTCATTAAGCTAGACCTACATCTTGTAAACAGTTTACTGATAGAAATAAAAATGAAAAAATGTAATGTAGTATTTATACCGTGTATCCGTTGGTAGAAGAATGTACTTAAAACAAAAATGGTAATTTTTCGAAATGGCGCATTAAAGATGAAGAAAAATGGTTTTACAACGGTGTTGAAATTGAAGTTGTGAACAAATTCAACTATCTGGATATGCTTTTCAATTTTAATGGTAGATTCAACAATAGGCAGCAACATGCCGCGGAAAAGGGGAGAAAATCGTATTTTAGACTGATAAACAAAATGAAAAATCATAACTTTAATGATGAGACGTGATGCTCAGTTTTTGATACTTATGTTAGTAGTGTATTAACATTTGCAAGTGAAGTTTGGGGATTCCAAAAATCTGCTGATGTTGAAAAAGTACATTCACATTTTTGTAAAATTATTTTAGGTTTCGCGAAAAGTACATATCCTGATTAATTTTATTTTGAATTAGGTAGATTACCAATGTATACTGTCAGAAAATTGAAAATAATGAAATACTGGACTAAAATCAAAGATGCAGATAATTGTGTGTTGAAAGCATCCTATGAACAAAGATTATTAAATAACGATGAGTGAATTGTAAATATTAAGTTAGAACTAGATAAATTAGGATTAGGGTACTTATGGAACAGAAGTCTTGACAGAAAACCAGTATACAAGTTAATTGAGAGTAAGCTTCAAGAAATTCAAAATTCTCCGAAAGGTAATTTATATCGACATTTGATAGACAATTTTGAGCTGCATTGTTATTTAAGGAAACCTATTAATTATCGATTCAAGAAATGTATATCAAAAATAAGATTGTCATCACACCAGCTCAATATTGAAAGTGGTAGATATAGGGATGTAGCCAGAGAAAATAGGGGCTGCACATTATGTAATAATAGACATATTGAAATTGAAGACGAATTTCATCTTATTTTAAAATATCCCTTTTATGTTGATTTAAACTTTATTTTATTTTGGCAGTGGCATTTCATTCAAAGCACGTTATACAAAAAGGATTCAGAAAGAAGTCATAAACTTATGTTAATCTATCTCCTTAGAAGTAACAAGCAGGCAGCAACTGATCGAATTTGGGAAAGGGAAAGTGAAAAGAGTTTAGGAGAGTGAAATGAAGTAAGGAAAGTGGATAGAATGAGTAGTATAGTATGTATACATTATGTAAGATCGACAAATACAATATGATAAGGAATGCAAGTTCATTCATAATAACATATGGGTATCTTAATAAATTGTTAATTATACATGTAGTACTACAAACTGCTGTACTGTTAGTTAATACAGACATACAAAAACTCATGAAAGTAAAAAGTTTCGCGTATATGGAAGGAGTACAGTAGTGTTGGCAGTAACTCTTCCTAATGCTCAAATCGTATAGTCTTTAATATGAAAGTTTGGACACTAACAAATATAGCTTCATTTTCTGCAAATGATAAAAATGTATCGCCAGAAAGAAGGACGTCTACAGATTCAATAGGAAGAAGATAGGAAAGAAAAAGATGTCTACATCTGTTATGATTAGAACAAGAGAAAAAGAAATGTTCGGTTGTTTCGTTTCCCATACCACAATCACAAATAGGACTATCAACTAGATTTTTACTATAAAAGATGGCCCTTAAGTGAACTACATTGCATTCGTAGTCTGGAATGATAAATTTGTCCTAGTCTAGAACCAACATAGAAATATCCTGGAATATTGGAATTAAGGCCATTTAAGTAATTCTTCAGAGTATAAAGAGATGGGTTTTCTTTAACATGCACAGGTAGATTTACAGCCGAAGGAAGAAAAGCTGTATAGCTGTGTTCTACATGCCACTGGACGGAAGTTCGCTGCGTCTCTAGTGTTATGGTTATGCAGGTCGGATTGACAGGTGGAAGGAGGTCGGTAAGGAACGACGGCGATAAACCGTGAACTATTTTATGAAACTGGATAATTTTACTATGTTTGCGTCTGGTGGAAAGACTAACCCAACCAGTTTCTTTATAAAGTCTATTTATACTTGTAAGCTTGGTTTCCCCAGTTACGATTCTAGCCGCTTCTAGTTCAATACTTTCTATCACATTTGACTGGTTTGTCGTTATATTATCCCAGACAATATTGGCGTATTCTAGAACTGGCCTTATGAAAGAAAAGTACATAGTCTGCAAAGACTTTCTATCCACTTTAAATTTTAGTTTTCTCATAAGTCCTATTTTTTTTACTAGTCTATCACATGATCTGCCCAACCCCCATTTTCAGATGGTTCAACGCCAAGATTGTCAGAATAAATATAATTTATTAATGCATATAAAAGTTTAGTGTCGTGCGCCCTTAAAGGACTGTAGGGCGAGTTGACTTTGAGACATTGTTATTGCGAAGAAGTCCGGGGGGTTCGGAGGATCGGCTTGGGTAGAGGACGCGGCAAGATGGCGAGCGAAGAAGAAGCAGCGTGATACCATGATGAAGGAAAGACAAACCTCATGTTTTGTTTAAGAGTTTAACCAATGGGTTAAGGAGTGAACTTTGACTCTGTGTGCGTGTACCATGACCGCTCGAGCTCGAGCGCCGTGACCCAGTGTTATCACGAATCGAAAGTAAGGACGCTCTGCATAGGGAAGTGACTTTCACACACTGTGAGTAGGGAAGAACATGTGATCGGTCTATCTACTATTGTGTAGTTTGTATACTGAATGTTTTTAGTTTATTATAAAAACTGTTAATTGTTTATTGGCGTCTGGTTGTATTTTACGTTCCAACGAAATACTATCAAGTATACCTAAATGAAAGATCCCAAAATTTATTGTCGTCTCTGACAATCTGGGGAGTCGTCCGGGAGTAATTTCTCTATAGATGATTTATCTGCTTTGAACATTTAACGGGTAAAATGTTGGAACGTGAAACCAGCACTGAACGTCAATTTACAAGCACACAAAGACGTGTATGTTCACAGATCATGAATATATAGTAAATGTGCTGTAGTACAAGTGTAGTTTACCTGAAGTTAGTGTTAACCCCCAGTGTAGTGTAGCTTTCAGTGAAATAGCGCTATAGAACCATTAGAGGTTGTAAAAGTAGGTCGGATTGCATAATAAACAAATGCTATTGTTCTGAGAGTCAGAATAGGTTGAGCATATTATTATCAATTGTTACAATATGTAGGATTGGTTGCTATGTAAAGCTACTGCATTGACCAGGGTGTAGATTCTGTAGAACAAATACTGCAATTTACTGTTATCTTGCACAGAACAGGATAGGTCGGGTAATTCATACAGATATTTGATATATATTGAAAGTGAAAAAGTTGTTCTAATGTGAGTACTAATTAGAATAAGTGAACAACACAGAACAGTTGTTTGTGTACTAAAGGCAATGCTAGAGAGAAGTCGAGTATTGTGAGACTCGAAATCAGGTTAGGCACCAGCAGATAGGCTTATTTCAATACAGTGGGGTTTGTTTACATTTTTATGAAGAAAATATTGTGAAGTGACAAACCATACATCGTATATTGCTGTAATGTTAAAAAGATACAGTAATATTTCTTAAGAGTAGAAATTCAAATACTGTAAAGTGACAGCAGTATTAGCAGCAGGTACTCTCAGGTATTATTGTCCATACTTACTTGCATAAGCGACTGGAAATACACCATGGAGTACGAGAAATGGTTAAGTTACGGTGAGCGATTGGGATATAAAGAAGCTGAGTTGCGGAATTTTGTGGCAGCTGGAACGGGAATACCTTGAGAGAGAGGAGAGAGCACTTAGACGAAGCAAGGAAAAAGAGGAGAGAGAGGAGGAAAAACATAAAATGGAGCTCGAGGAAGCAGAGAGGGATAGACAGGAAGCTGAGAAAAGTAGACTGTTTGAGATGGAAAAGCTTAACCTTCAAGCTGACATAGAATTTTCTAGGCTTAAGGCAGAGCAGGAGAAAAGTGCATTGTCAATGTCGAACTCGGAAGAGTCGAGGTCAAGGTCACTGCGACCAAAGTTACCAAAATTTGACGAACAAAAGGATGACATGGATGAATTTTTAGAGCGATTCGAGAAGTTTGCTACAGCTCAACACTGGAACGAAGACATTTGGGCAGTGAGCCTTAGCCCCCTATTGACCGGTAAAGGGCTACAAGTCTATTCAAGCATGCCTGCAACTCAGATCAACAAGTACGATGAGTTGAAGAAAGCGCTTCTCAGGAGATACGCGTTAACCGAGGAAGGTTTTCGCGTAAAGTTTAGGGACAGTAAACCGGAGAAGGGTGAAACGGCATTTCAATTTGTCGCGAGGCTGTCACGGTACTTGACGCGGTGGACTCACATGTCCGAGATCGAACAGTCGTTTGAAGGGTTATCAGACCTGCTTATCAGGGAGCGGTTTATGCAAGCCTGTTCAACGGATATGGTCCTGTTCCTTAAAGAGAGAGCACCCAAGAGTGTTGAGGAGTTAACTCGACTCGCGGAACAATATATGGAGGCCCATGGAGGAAGTATTACGGAATCTGGCAAGGTCAAATTTAGCAACCCCAATAAGACACATTTTCCATCGCGCCGTAATAACCAGCAACAGCAGAGTGACCAATCGACAGACACTAAGGGTCAGAAAACGCGTCGGTGTTTCATTTGTGGTGATGAAGGACATATCGCTCGCGATCACGCAGAAGTAGGCAAGATTGGATCTAAGCCTCTCAAAAGCAGCCATTACAAGGACTCTAGCAAAGCAACTCTTTGTAAGTCCATGGAAAAGAGAAGGGAGGTTGGGGTCAAACATATTTGTAAGACGAAGGGACCATAAACAGAGCCAGTGGGACGTTTACGACTGGAAGACAGTGGGATTCCTGTCCAGCTTGGATACACGGTAGGTCAGTCGGTGCAGGCTTTAAGGGATACAGGAGGTAGCAGCGCCGCTATCAGGGAAGCTCTTGTAATGCCTGACCAGATGACAGACAAGAAACTCCCATGTATATTGATTGATGGGACAGAGCGGATGTTCAGAACGGCCAGGATTTTTGTGGATACCCCCTTCTATGTTGGGGAATTGGAGGCAATGTGCATGAGCAATCCAGTCTACGACTTAGTGATCGGTAACATTGATGGAGCTAAGTTAACGGCTGACGCCAATTAGAAGCCATAAATGGAAGAGAATCAAGTCTCTGCAGTTATGACTAGAGCCGAGGCTAAAAAAGAGAAAGAAGCGATTAAGCCACTTTATGTTCAAGCCAGGAAAGTTGAGTTAGTCGGACTGGATGGACTTAAGGAAGCCCAGAAAGGGGATAAGTCGCTCGACAAGTGGCGTGGGATTGCAGAAGGCAAAGGAGATAATCAAGGCAAAAAGTATAGAATGGAGTTGAAAAACGACATCCTATACCGGATCTTCACGCAGAAGGAAAGGCAATCAGATATAGAAGTCCGTCAGATCGCTTTACCCGAAATGTATAGGGAACAAGTGATGTCGTTCGCACATGAGTCAATAGTTGGAGGTCATTTGGGAATACAGAAGACTATCGATAGAATATCAACAAGTTTCTGTTGTTCTGGAATGACAAGTGACGTGACACACTTCTGCAGATCCTGTGATGTATGTCAAAAGACAATACCTAAGGTCAAAGTGACAAAGGTACCTTTAGGGGAGATGCCATTAATTGAGGAACCTTTCTAAAGGGTGGCTGTGGATCTTATCGGGCCTATTTACCCTGCGTCGGAGAATAAGAACCGCTACATACTAACGATGGTAGACTATGCAACAAGATACCCCGAGGCCATAGCGTTACCCAAGATCGAAATGGAAAGAGTGGCAGAAGCGTTGCTGGAGATGTTCTGTAGAGTTGGATTTCCGAAGGAAATATTAAGCGACAGAGGGTCACCTCAAGACTCATGGAGGAGGTGTGTAGGTTAGTTTCGGTCAAGCAATTGTTCACAACTCCTTACAACCCAAAATGCAATGGCTGGTGTGAAAGGATGAATGGTGTTCTTAAGGGCATGTTAAAGAAAATGTGTCAAGAACGACCAAAGGACTGGGACCGATATATCCCGGCAGTTTTGTTCGCCTATCGGGAGGCCCCGCAAGCAAGTACTGGGTTCTCACCGTTTGAATTATTATACGGGAGGACCGTCCGCGGTCCCATGCAAGCACTGAAGGAAATCTGGACGGATGAGGCAGAAGAAACGTCCGACGTGAGAAATACTTACCAGTATGTTCTTAATCTCAGGAATAAGTTGGAAGAAACTTGTAAAATAGCGAGAGAGAGTTTACAACAGGCACAAGGGACATACAAACACCACTATGAGAGGAAAACGAGGAATCGACGATTCGAGGTTGGACAGAAAGTATTAGTGTTACTTCCAACGGTCAACAACAAACTCCCGTTACAATGGAAAGGACCATTTGAGATAGTGGAGGTTGTCAATCGCATGGACTACAAGGTCAACGTTGGTGGTAAAGTTAAGGTGTACCATGTTAACTTGCTAAAATTGTATGTGGAGCGTCGGGAAAACAAGACTAATCGCGAGCAACAGTCGGATGCGGCGGCTGCAATTGCTGTTATTGAGGCGGAGACTGGTAATAAAAGGGGAGCAGTGGACGACGAAGACTTGCTCGAGTTAGGAGACTTTGCCGGTAAAGAGACATTCCGTGATGTGAAAATCAGCAATGAAGTTATCACGCTCCTGGAAGAATTTAGCGATATATTTACTGATGTCCCAGGAACAACGCATCTGGAGGAGCATCGGATAGAGACTACCACTAAAGATCCTATTAGGGTACCATACGCCAAAAGGAAGGAGGTACAAGCGGAAATAAGGAAAATTATAGAAATGTGTATAGTCGAACCCTCAAGATCAGCATACAATGCTCCGATCGTCATGGTGAAAAAGAAAGACCAAACAAACCGGGTGTGCATTGACTTCCGTAAATTAAATGCCGTAACATTCTTTGACCCTGAACCCATGGGAGACATTCAGGACTTCATGACAAAGCTTGATAAGGACAATTACTTTTCTAAATTCGATCTCAGCAAGGGCTACTGGCAGATACCAGTAGAGGAGAAGTCGCGTCATCTAACAGCCTTCTCGACATCGGAAGGATGTTACCAATTCAGGAAACTTCCATTTGGGCTTGTTAACTCAGAAGCTACATTCAGCAGGATGATGAGGAAAATGTTGGACGGAAGTAGCAATACAGACCATTATGTCGACGATATACTTGGTCACGATCAGACGTGGGATGGACATTTTGGGAATACGCGTTGCCAATTTAACAGTTAGACCCACAAAGTGCGAGATTGGGTACAGGACACTGGGATTTGTTGGATATACTGTTGGTGACGGAACTGTTTCTATGGAGGATGATAAACTACAATTGATTAGTGACGCACAACAACCTAAGACAAAAAGACAAGTGCGAGCATTTCTAGGACTCGCAGGTTACTATCGAAAGAAAGGACGGCCAAATCAGATTGACTGGGGACCTGGAGGAGAAGCAGCATTCACACGCCTTAAAGATATCCTTACTTAGGCTCCTATTCTGAGGCTGCCACACCTTTCGAAAAATTTCATAGTACAGTCTGATGCTTCAGACACTGGTTTGGGTTGTGTTTTGTTGCAAGAGCACAGTGATGGTCTATTCCCAGTCGCCTATGCAAGTAAGAAATTGCTTGATAGGGTAAAGAACTATTCTGTTATCGAGCGCGAATTTCTAGCCATTGTGTTTGCTATCAAGAAGTTCCAAATGTACTTACATGGAAGAGAATTTGTTTTGTACACAGACCATAAGCCATTGTTGTATATCCAAAAGAGCAAGGTAGAAAGTAGTAGAATTATGCGATGGGCATTGTTCTTGCATAACTACAAGTTCCGCATCAAATCTATCAACGGTTCAGAGAACGTAGCTGCAGATTATCTCAGCAGGCAGTACTAGATAGTTTACATAATTCATGAGTTAATTATGTCGTATTTATTTCAAAGTTTTATGTTGACATTTATTCTAGGATGTTCGAAAATACAAAGGTTGAGTATTTTCTGAAATAGGGGGTTGTCAGAATAAATATAATTTATTAATGCATATAAAAGTTTAGTGTCGTGCGCCCTTAAAGGACTGTAGGGCGAGTTGACTTTGAGACATTGCTATTGCGAAGAAGTCCGGGGGATTCGGAGGATCGGCTTGGGTAGAGGAAGCGGCAAGATGGCGAGCGAAGAAGAAGCAGCGTGATACCATGATGAAGGAAAGAAAGGCCTCATGTGTTGTTTAAGAGTTTAACCAATGGGTTAAGGAGTGAACTTTGACTCTCTGTGTGTGTACCATGACCGCTCGAGCTCGAGCGCCGTGACCCAGTGTTATCACGAATCGAAAGTAAGGACGCTCTGCATAGGGAAGTGACTTTCACACACTGTGAGTAGGGAAGAACATGTGATCGGTCTATCTACTATTGTGTAGTTTGTATACTAAATGTTTTTAGTTTATTATAAAAACTGTTAATTGTTTATTGGCGTCTGTGTTGTATTTTACGTTCCAACGAAATACTATCAAGTATACCTAAATGAAAGATCCCAAAATTTATTGTCGTCTCTGACAAAGATGTCTGGGAGTTAACCTGCTGAAGAGAATATTGTTCATCAACAAAGGGGGATGGTGGGGCTTATTTTTTTCTTACTTATTGTTATTGTTTCTGTTTTTGATGGGTTAAATTTAACAAGCCATAACTCAGACCAATCCTGAATTTTGGCAAGATTTTCATTAAGAATATTTGCACAGACATCTGGCACATCAACAACGAGATATAAAGACGTATCATCGGCAAATAGTTTAATAATTACATTAATATTGTCAACTATATCATTAATAAAAATTAGAAAGAGAAGCGGACCTAGAATCGAGCCCTGGGGAACACCAGCTTTAACTTCTGTCCATTCTGAAGATCTACCATTTATAACCACTCGCTGTTTACGATTTAATAAGTAATTTTCGAACCACATAAGCAATTGACCGTTAATTCCAAAGTTAAACAGCTTACGTAATAGACCCCGGTGGCCTTGCTTATGTCACAAAAGACCATCCGTATTTCTTTCCCTCTATCAAGTGCGGAATAAATATCATTAGTTATAGATAATAACTGGTTGACAGTGGAATCATCTGACCGGAAACCAGACTGACATGGAGTTAACAGAGAATGATCAACAACGAAATTGTAAATATATTTAAAAAACATCTTTCCATTACCTTTCCAACGATGGATAAAAGTGAAATAGGACGATAGTTACTAAGTTGCGAACGGTCTCCTTTTTATGGACAGGCGTAACGTTTGCCTGTTTCCATAACTGTGTGAAATGACCAAGAGAAATAGAAAGATTGAAGATTTTTCAAGAGGAACGCTGATGATTCTAACTGCCTCTTTAAGTAAACGTGGATTAATTAGGTCAGGACCAATAGCTTTAGAAGAATCAAGGACTGATATAACATCTATAATGTCCTGCAAGGAAATAATAATATTAGAAATTTCAAAATTATGATTCTTCATAATTGGGGGTAGAACTGCATTTGAGTCGTCTACTATTGATTGGGAATGAAAAAAAAACCCATTAAAAGCACTAGCCTTATCAGCATCATCAGACAGAACTATGTTATTTTCCGATATAGGAGGATTAAAACATTTTTTGTCAGAGTTTGACATGAAACTGTTTACTATTTTCCACCACTGTTTAGAACTAAGATTTTTTTTAACTATCAAGATTTTTGCAAAGTTTCTCGAAATAATAGATTTTTGCCCATCTTACTGCAATTACACATTTATTTCGAATTCGTTTAAAGTTTGACCAATCCGTGTCAAGCGCTTTACGCTTAGCTATACGGTGCAACGTTTTACGTTTACGAATCAGCTTCCGAATTTCATTAGACATCCACGGAGGGTTTTTAGATCTAACGGTTATCATTTTACTGGGAATACACTGTTTAGCGGCGTTAATAACAACATTGTTAAAGTTTTCTACACATTTATTGACATCGTTAATATCGCTAATGTCGTCCCATTTAATATTGTCGAGTTTTTGTCTATAAGAAATGTAGTCAAACAACCAAATACTCCTTTCAAAGCTTACCGTTTTTGGTTTCTCAAGATTAAATGACGCATAAGCCGGACAATGATTCCTTAACGGCTGGTCAAGAAAGCTTTCACCAACGTAACAATTTCCAATCAATGACGAGTTGCTCGTGCAGACTATATCTCTTAGGGACGACGTTGTTTCAGTATAAAAAGTTGGTTCATTTACTAGCTGGGATAAGTTAAAATTTGTGAGTAATGTCCGTAAATGTACATTAGTATGGCTCTGAACGAGTAAATTAGCGTTAAAATCACCAGTGATTATAATATCATTGATACCAGTATTAAATGCTAGATCGATAGAATGGCATATATGATTCCATGTAGATACCGGGGAGTTCGGGGGCCTATAAAATGTACCATACAGGGTTTTCCTATTACCAAAAACAAATTGTAGCCAAACGCATTCAACTCCGCGAACTTCCAGATCAGTACGGCGAGAAGTTAAAATATTGTCATTCACATAGACTGAAACGCGCCACCAAATCGCCCAGGCCTAAAGTAGGAAAAAGGCTCAGAGAAACCAGGAAAGCTAAGTTTGTTCATATCGTCACTTGGGCTCAGCCAAATTTCAGTATACGATATGATGTCGTTATTGTATAATTCACTAAAAAGGACATCGACCTTATGTTTTGAACTTTGGACGTTAAGATGAACAAAAGAAAACTTCTTATGATCGAGTTCATTACTACTTTCATAGAAACTTTCAATGTCACCAGAAAGTAGTTAAGATAATTCAGTAAAGACTAAGATACATAACATCACAAGAGAGAAAATACCAACACTCTACACTTCGATTGGGACGCGACTTTTTACCAACATAACACGATTATATATGTCGTGGGCATTAACATAAATTGTAACAAATACAGTTAAGAATAATATGTCAAGAGCAAGAGAATCATTTAAGTTGAAATACCCTTTGGCACGGGTGTGAGAGAATGATAAAATAGACCAATCCGAGCACGGTAGAGACCAAGACAATCAGGCATTTATGTCACACCTATCGGTAGGTGCTGGAATTGTTTACGTGCTCGGATGGGCCATACAAATACATAGTTTACCACTAAATGACGTTTAGATTTCCTTATCATAATACAGAACAGGTTTGATGGAAAAACCATTGAAGAATTAGAGACAAAGATAAAAGAACATTGAAGACACATTGGATAGCTGAGGAGAAAGGATAGGAGAAATGATAGCTGTTCATATAGAGTTTTAATAAAAAGGTGATGAAAGAGGTCAGCAGAATAATATTTTAAGTGAAATTACATCATTTGAAACACTAGTGGATTGGTGAGTTTGTCGACGACGATGAACTTACACGGTGTCGCTTGTCTCGCTGAGAAAAGACGGAGCGATTCATGTATCAGTATTAAGCAAGTCAGATATAATTCACAAGTAAGCGTATAATACAGGTAGCGAGTGGAGAAGCAGCATATGTAACGTGAAGATAAAATGAAGTCACAATCATGAATACAATAAGGAATACTCGAGAAGCCAGTACAGGGCCGTCGTACTCATCGCTACAGAATGACATCAACAATGGTAGGCACTTGAAACATACACGTCCGTACAATGCGGGTGTGCATGAGAGTAAGAGACGGGTATTGCAGCAGTATAGGTTCACATATACACAATTTCATATGATGCGAGTCATAATTAGTGTTTCCATGTCACGCACAGCTTTCTACTGACCGCAGTATATCCTTAAATAGTCATTTAAATGAAATTTATCGGGAGTCGACCAGAATAGCTGCTCACCTATTAAGGGCCGTCAGTATGTTGATCTCCGATCTAAATATTTGAAATCATATCATTTTCGCAGACCTAGTGTGTTCAAATGAATTCAGCTTCTAGGTATAAAAAATGTAAATGAGTTAAATAACATCGGAAAATGTATTCATGATGTATTTAAACGGCGATCTGAAGTATATTATATCTGAAGGCATATTGTAAGCAAAACATTATTAATCAGATTTGATTAGCAAAACGTTAACTTTTTCATACACAACATTTCTTACTTTCATTGATTGACTTAGTTGATAATTCTGAAAGATAAGGGTATGCGCGGAGTACTGGAGTGTTTACACTGCCGTATCTTTCCTAACTGATCCTTTCATTTTAGCGAAGAATCAATTTCCGGGGTTCTCGCCCGATCCCATCAGGATCCCGGGTTTGACAAGCTCGGAGTGGCTGTGCCTCCTCGTTAGCCCGTGGGCATGTCTTTCCGTACGGCGGCACGTGGGTACACTTGCTTTTAAACGAGGAGGTCCTTTCCTACTCTTTGGCACTCTGTTCTCCCTCCCTACTACTTTGGCTGTGCTGGATGGGCTGCGTGGCATCTAGTCATCACTACGGTAAGACGAATTCGCATACTAAAGTTATGGTAATTATAACTGAAATAAAATTGAGGTTATTTCATGTAAAACCAATTTTCATGAGGAAATACTAGCCATAACTTTATGGTGTTCCATCCTATCCTCCCCTCTTCCTTATCTGCCTGGCTGCCCCTCTGTGGGGTTCTCCTTAACGGTTATTAGAGGAAGGGAGATCACTCTATGTTCCTGCCACGATTGTTACATAATCACAAACAATTCCAAATGGCGACTCACTCACATGTTTATTCATGATCACAATACAATACAAGGAAAACAAACGTTCAGCTGACTAAGACTACATAACATCCTTCCCTTCATATAAAATTGAAAATACAGTTATTTATGTATTATGACTTTTCTGTATGAATGTAGATTATTGTATGTATAATGCAATTATGGTATTACTTAAAATTATCACCATTATCGTTATTATATTAAAACACTTGTGATCAATCATTGGCTGAGTTTCGACTTTTTATATTAACAAACAAACCCTAGTAATAACTCATGCATGTTATTACGTGAAGTTAAATCAAAATCATAGTAAAACTCTTCTAGTAAATTTATGACTACACAGTTATTTGACTAGAAATCAAATCTCTATAAATGTATTTACCATATAATCAATTTGACTAGAAATCATATAGCAATATACTTCATATCAGGATTGTCTTTCATTTTGACAGTCATTATTCAAAATTAAACACATTAACTATTTTCATTTAACACTGTTCCACAAAATGTTTCTATATACAGTTTCTGAAGCACAATTCACATTTATATGTCTGGTCTCTTTGGAGGTCTCACAGTTCTACCAGATTTGGTAACCAGTGGTATCGGATTGGTCACAACAGTCTTATCGCGATTGGGTGGAGCCACATGTGGTTCCACTTCCGGTCTCTCATTTTCACTAAGACACATTTCGCGGGGTGGTGGTAACTGAATCAAAGGTTCGTCACAAGCAAACTGCTACTCATTACCGTTGAATTTTGCGCGAGTTGGTCTGAGATGTCTGCGGTTCCTCCGGTATGTCTTACCGTTGGGGGTAACCACAATGTATGATCTCGGATTCGGGTGTAGATTCTGAATTTGACCTGGAACCCACTTGGAATCTGTCTCCATGAGAACAGATTGTCCGCAACGAAGAGGTTCTAACTCGGAACCTGCCGTGCGATCGTAGTAATGTTTAGCACGAGCTTGTCTATTGTGTAATCGATACTTCAGTTCTTTCCAAATGGTTGTAACAACGGTGCCATAACTGGTACGCTTGTTTTCAGCCGTCGCTGTAGAAACATCTAAGCTGGGGATTGTCCCAAATCATCCATGACGGTATTACGATAGTCTAATAGCGCCCTGTATGTGTCACTAGCTTTCTTTAACAACTTTTTTACCGTCTGAACTGTTCGTTCGGCTTGTCCATTTGCCTGGGGGAATCTCGGACTCGATGTTCGGTGTTCAATTCCGTTGTCTTTACAGAATTTTGTGAATTCTTCACACGCGAACTGTGGTCCGTTATCAGAAATGATACGATCCGGTATACCATATCGAGCAATCTGACCTTGTATGGTATTGCTGCTGGTGAGGTTATCCAGTTTCGCGAGCTCTGGCCACTTGGGAGTAATGATCCACAGACACTAAATAGTGTTGCCCCCGGAATTCAAATAAATCAGTTAAAATGACGGTCCGGAATTTCTGTTTCCTTGAGTGGTTCCTTTGGATTCTTTCGCGAGGCCTCTGCACACACACTACACTTTTGAATCATATTTTCAATTTCAACACTCATTCCTGGCCAATATGGGGTGTCTCTTGCCATTGACTTGCATTTCACTATACCCAAATGAGACTTATGCGCTAAGGCCAGCATTTTTTCACGCAGAGATTTTGGAACTATGACCTTGTGATTTTTAAACAACAGGCCATCAACACATGATATTTCATCTCGGAATGGCCAGTAGGGTCGAGCCTCTTGTGGCACTTCCCTCTTATCACTTGGCCAACCTTCTAGAACCACATCTTGTAGAATCGGTAACTCGTGATCATTAGCCGTTTCCTTCTGGAATTCTATATACTTTTCTGGCGAGAGCGGAAGATATGCGGATACGACATTCACAGACAAATCCGGTACTAGATCATCCGCACTATCTGGTAAGTATGCCCTGCTGAACGTATCTGCGATGAACATTTCCTTGCCCGGTTTGAAGATGACGTCCAAGTTGTACTTTTGTAAGGTAAGTAGTAGACGTTGTAGACGCGGAGGAGCCATCATCAAGGGTTTACGAAAGATGGATTGTAGAGGTTTGTCGTCGCTTTCAACATGTACGCGTCTCCCATATATGTATTGATGAAATTTCGAGCAGCCAAATGCGATTGCCAGGGTCTCTTTCTCAATTTGAGCATAATTTTGCTGCGCCGAAGTCATGGCCCTCGATGCATAGGCTATAGGATGACCTTCCTGCAGTATAGCTGCACCAAGACCTTTGGAACTGGCGTCGACCGTCAAGGTAAGTTCCTTTTTAGGGTCATAGTACTTTAACACTGGAGCCTGTGTTACCATACTCTTGAGCTTTTGAAAGCTTTCTTCCTGTGTTTGCTCCCCGCACCACTCTACTTCTTTTTTCAGGAGTCCTCGTAGAGGTGCGCTTATTTCCGACATGTTGGGTATAAATTTGGCCATATACTGCACAAATCCAAGGAATGTTTGAAGTTCCTTTTTCGTCATAGGTCGTTTCATTTCACGAACAGCGCGTACTTTTTCTTCGTCAGGTTTTACGCCTTCTGACGACAGTACGTGGCCAACGTACGTGATACTTGACTGTCTGAAACGACATTTGTCCTCACTAAGTTTCAGATTATTTTCCTGGACTCTGTCAAGTACCTTTACAAAATGCTCGTTGTGTTCAGCCATAGATTCACCCCAAATCAAATTGTCATCAACAACAGCTTCACAGCCTTCAATATCACTAATCATAGATGACACAGCCCTCTGATACACTTCAGGGGCAGAGTTTATACCAAATTGCAGTCTGGTAAAGCTGTATCTGCCAAATGGCGTGTTAAATGTACATAGTTTGGTGCTTTCAGCGTCCAACTTGAGCTGCCAAAAACCCGACCGTGCATCTAACTTTGAAAACACGTTTGCATTGGGAATTTCCGCAATGATGTCATCTATTGTTTTCATGGGGTAATGTTCACGCTGTATACCTTGGTTAAGATCACTGGGGTCAATACAGATTCGTATTTTTCCGTTGGGTTTCGTAACAGTAACCATTGAATTTACCCATTGTGTAGGTTCTGTTTGTTTCACGATGATTCCTTGTCGTTCCATCGACTCGAGTTCCTCTTTCACCCTTTCTTTTAGAAAAATAGGTATTTTTCTGGGTGGATGTATCACTGGCTTGACGTTCGGGTCAACCTTGATGCTATACGTACCTGGCATGCATCCAATGCCTTTGAACACATGTCCATACTGTTTCTGTATATCATCAGGAATGTGATTTGTACTACCCGACACAACACTATGGATTCTTTTCACCAGTCCCATAGCTTGACATGCATCAGCCCCGAGAATTGGTTTCACATTTTGATCCACCGCTTGAAAATCCTGCCGATACATTTTATCTTTGTGTTTACATGGTAATGTTACTTTACCTTTCGGCTTGATTTTGTGTCCCGAGAACGATCTCATCGGTGTGGATGGTTTTAGATTCATGTCAACATTTTCCATTGATTTCATCATATCTAATGGTATTACGTTGCATTGTGCACCGGTATCCAGTTGTACCGTTATTTTGGACCCTCCTATTTCAATAGTTTCAACCCACTGTTGGTCTCCACTTTCTGTCAAAGTGTTTACTTCGAGGTATCCCACAAATAATGTTTCTTCGTCACTGACATCCGTGTACTCGTTTTGGTCTACCGTATGTACTTTGTTGTGTAATTTGTCCATTTTCGGAGTTCTACACTTTCGAGCGAAGTGGTTTTTTCGTCCACACTTTTTACACGTTTGCCCTGACGCTGGACACGATTTATGAGCGCTCGGATATCCACATTTAGAGCACAAGATCTCTTTTTCTTTCGGTGCATATTCTTTACGTGTTTCTTCCTTGCGCTTGTGTTTACTTTTGTTTCCTTTCCGGATAACATTCACATAGGCCGCCGTGCCTGAGGAAGCTTCATTTATTGTCCGTGCCTGAGTATGACTCATTTCATAATTTCTAACACAGTCTAATGCCAAAGCTAACGTAAGAGTTGAACCAATACTCATGAGTTTTTCACGTACTTTTGGGTTTCTGATTCCAAACACAATCTGGTCTCTAACTACGTTTTCGTTGTCTGCGTATTCACAATCTTTTACCAATACCTGTAAATCGGTTACAAAATGTTCAAAAGTCTCACCTTCGTTTTGTTTTCTTGACTGTAGTTTGTATCTGTTGTAAATTATGTTTGATCTAGGCTTTACATACGTTTCAAAACGTGTGTAATATGTCTCCAGCTTCTTAGCTTCATTTTGGTCAATTGTCCAGGTTGAGAAAATATTTCTCCCCTTTTCGCCTACCCACAGCATCAAATATGAACACTTTTCTGGCTCTGACTTGCCTTTCAGTGGACCCGTGAACATAAACTCAGCATGCTGTTTAAAAGTTTTCCATGACGTTACTAAGTCAATCTTTTCCTAGTCCATTACAGGTGTTTGACTTGCTAAATCAGCCATTTCGGTTCTTTAACTTCTTGTCTGTTTTACGGACTGTATGTTTGACCTGGATGGCACGTTGATGTGGCGATTGATCCCGATTCTGTCACCATGTTACATAATCACAAACAATTCCAAATGGCGACTCACTCACATGTTTATTCATGATCACGTAGATGCTTAACAATACAAGGAAAACAAACGTTCAGCTGACTAAGACTACATAACAACGATGGCTCATGGATCGTAGGGAGGGCGGAATTATTTGAATCTTTTGTTGTTGGAATACAAAGATGGGTGTAGGTACTGAATTTGCATATTACATCATGAAAATTGGTTTTTCATGAAAAAAACTCAAAATTGTTGAGGCATTGACCAGTCTTACAAGAAAGACAACTTATACACCAATTAGATTTAATTCATTAATTTTGAACGATACCATTATTCAGTTTCACGAGAACTAGAGATATAGTCTTGATTAAAGAATTGTGTTTGAGGAGCTTGGCGTGAGTTGTTTAACTAGAAAACGTGTTTCTCAATCTCTTTTATTTTATTCCGGAGAAAGGTAAAATACAACTTTAAAAAACCAACATTGAGATGATACGGAAACACGGAAATACCAACACACAAAACGGTCAATTCCGGATATCAATTCATGGTGTATATATAAAAGTAGGCAAGAACCCTGATTTTGAAGCCTTGTTTTTTTTACTTTTCTTGTGTAGGGAATTGAAGAACAAGAAATCTCAAAGACATCTTTGTGCACGGCAGCACTCCATTCCTGTCATTGTTCTTGAGTAAACATGACAATGGGTGAGGAACATTATAGAAAAATTATTCCGTTTGGACGTTATGTTATTGCATCCCCAACTTATAGTATTCGAAGATAATATTTTACGTGTACACATATTTTGAAAGGATGAAATACATAATTGTATGGGAACGCAATGTTATTATTACGTCCCGTACGCAACAACAATGTATTTATGATACACGTTCCCAGCCACAGTAACATGTTGTAGGGACAAAATTATTACTCGTTACATCAATTACCAACAGGAACTTGTTGGTCTTTACGTTAGCACCAATATAAGCACCTACCTCCACTGCACTATACATATATATATCATTGTGATAATTTGGTTGGACATTTCTGAAGCCACAGAAGAAAATAAAACGTCAAGTTCAAGTTTTAAAATAAAAAAACCAGATATTTGAACTCTTGTCAGATGAAAACAAGGAACCACAGACGTCTTGTTTCTTGTTAATCGTCTTCTGATACTTATTACATATATTATTCATCGTATGGATACTGTGATCAATAATCAAGAGATCTGAAGTAATATTTAGGAAGCGTGCTCCATCTGTTCAGCAGTACCGCGGCGATCACCAATCGATCTCTTGAATTATTTGTTTATTGATTTTCTGTTCTATTTTTTTCTACAAAAGACACGTAAATAGGAAAAAACCGCTTCCGATTTGACTTGTGTTTTCCTTTACTGCAGGTGTACTGCCTACTTCATTTTTCATTGCTTCTATAGGGTTTTGATGTATTCGATACACCCAGAGTAAAATTTTCCATTGCTTCACATCCATTCAAAGGAGTTATCGTGATCATGGTCTTACAAAAGCTATGAAACCTCACAAGACTCCGAAATATTCTCATCTATTCTAAGGAAAAAACATCCAATGAGTATACAAAATCGGAAAAAAGAACTGTGACGTTACGTAAATGGAGAAAGGACAGGAGATTCGGGTCCGACTTAATGAAAGACGCGGAATCCCAAAAAGGCAGAAAATCAGCAGATCAGAGCGAAATCAATCTCGGTCCAAGATCAATAAATCTGCATCTTTAGATAAATCCCAACAGCAAAAGCATATCATTGACGGAGAAAATTCCAAAATAGTCAGCAGAAAAACTACCTTGCAGCAGCAAGTCAAGGAAACCTTCTTGGTACGCCGCAACGAGTCCGGACTTAATAGGGAGTGACCAAGTGTTCAAGAACGCAATACATTGTTGTTATCTAGTGTTTTTCAGTTTTTTATAATCTTCTTTTTTACCATGTCATCACACTATTTTCGACCTTAGTGTCTATTCCCAACCACCTTGTACAGTACCTACGTCAACTTTAATACGCTTCACACATGTCATATATCTAAGACGACAATGTAGTCATCGAAGTGTCACACCTAAATCTTCTACCATCAACCATACATGTGGTATATACATTGAAAAGGAGTTGCCTACCTTTTACCATTAGTGGCTAACAACACAGGCTTATATACAGGTATGCTCCCTTCCAATGTACATGGTGTGTATCTGTTAAAAGACATTTTTCAAAAGTCAGCTAAAAAGATGAATGGAATATGAATTGCAAGTTGAAGAATGTATATCACCATTATCCAAAATGTCTCCGAGCAGTATATGCACTTAGTGCAAAAAAGATAAAGAGTTCCAGGTCATTTTTTATTTTCTGTTAAGGGGCTACAAAGTGCAGTGCATTACTTCATCAAGTGTTTTCGTTTTCCTCATTTTCCTTTTTGATTACGTCATTTAGGCACTTAGCATCAAAGAGTCATTGAAGGGCAGAGCAGCTACCATGACATAGCTTGTCCTACTCAGAGCTATCCACCTATGTGTCTTTGTACAATCGTCTATTGGGCATCTGTGTCATAAATTTAAATGTCTTGTTTTGTTCGTAACAGCCAGGGTCATAGTTGGACGGGTTTCAAGAAGGACACCAAGAGTTGAAAATAAGGGAAAGAAAGGAAAATATCTAGATCCCAAGTAATGCTGTTGAGGCCCATAAGTATTGCTATGGTAGCAGTGGAATGCAGCAGCGAGACACAGAGGACATATTTCCTTCCTTGACCTTAGATTTTACTATCAAAAAAAAATTGAACATGAGCATAAAGAAAATACCTTGACAATGTAAAACCAAACAAACCCGCTCTTTTAAAGGTAGTATGGAATAAAAAGATCTTTCGATTAGTTATCACTGCTCTGTGATTGATCAGCTTTAAATGAGTGGTTTAATGTGACCAAGTCGGTTATTATACTAATGTGTCTCTGTTATGATAATTCAGCATAACAACATTATAATGATGTCCGTCAGTTGACAGGTCATCAGAGGACATCATCTCCAACTGACATGACCACGACTTTTCTGACAACGTTAAACAAACCTTAATCGCAACGTCAAGAAGTACCTGGGTTCGCAAATGTAACATACTTTGTTTGGATTCCTTTAGAGGAAATAATCGCTACGGAGACAAAAAGTATGAAATGGGTGCTCAGAAAAGTAAGAGTCTTCTGCTTCATCGACGACACCTGTCATGCACATCTTGGTAAGTTCAAATAAGGTCAGATTCCCAAATGAGAACACCAAGTACAATGTAAGGTAATATTAAGTTTTAAATTCTAACGTCATATTGTTCCCCAAAGAGAAGACACAAAATAACCCCCGCGTTGTCCCCGTACTGAAGAGGTTTTCTATTTTCTTTTTCAAGGAAAATGGATAATGCCTTTAGACTCTCTTATATCCCCTTTACAATGAGGATTGGTGAAAGCAAACATTATCTGCACCAGTTGCAGTAAGACACAGCATGTATATTCTCTCACTATCTGCTTCAATAGCTCACTTAATTGTCAAAGTTCTCTTCGATATAATTATCAGCTGATATAGGAATAGGGATTGTTTTTTTAGGATCTTCTATATCATTATGTCATTAGCGAATGGCTAGTCTCGATCGTGGTTTATTCTTCAATATAAAATTTTGCACAAGGTTTTGTTTTCGTAGTTGCACATTTATAGTTAAACTTGCTATGCTATCCACCTTATTTCTTGTGTAATTAAATGGAATTAAACAACTTATGAGAACAAAAAAAGCGATACCAATTTGATTTAACTTTAACGCTCTCGTTTTATCAATAACAGCACTTTAAACTTTTTAATTAACACTGATTAACTCTAACATTTAAGCAACCGGGTGTAGGTCATAACAAAGCAATCCTTAATACCTATGTCATTTAAGTAGGAACATCAATCGAAGAACATTAAGACTAGTCTTGTTTCTCATTGAATCCTTTTAACAATAAAGGACTCCTTCCTTATGTGTATGTTTTGCAAGTTCATCAGAACTATATCCACGGTTTTATGGAAGGCTATTAAACCTTGGCATCATTTCAGCTGGTTATATGAGGTGTCTATGTGTCATACTTTATGTGGTTCATATGTTGACGTAAAATATTCTCTTAACAACAGTTTTCACCCCATTGTCTCCTTTGTTATTGGCTGTGTGGAATGGGATATCATCGTGTTCCATGTTGTGATAACTGATGGTGATTTTATTAAAATTGCCATGAAAGTGACCCCTAATTGGAGACTGGCATCTGATGAGATCCTGTTTGCCTGTGTTATATCGAGCAATGTTTTAGCCTTCACCATTCATAACTAATTTACACATGGCTTTTCAAGGAAGGGTCTGCTTAAGGTCTGAAGAACAGAAGGCGACCGCGGAAAATACAAGGTGATCGAAAGAAAAGTGAAAACTTTAATTGGGAGATGCCCTGTAATTAAATATGAGTGTCTTTGGCAGCAGATCAAATGTGATCTCTTCAATATTCTGTTTTCTTACATGGCAATCTTTTTTTAAAACTTCACTGTTATATTTTGCAATATTGGTAGTTAAGTTTTTCGTAAAGAAATAATTGATTTGGTTTGACAGATGTTTTTTTGTAAATATTTGGTAACCAAGCGACGCATGGTACTGCCCCAGACATAATGTCTCTTCGGTGAACCCAATGTATCAATTCGCTGGTTCTACACATACATACTAGATGCAGCACATCAAAAGAAATGTAACAGATAAAATCGAAAGCTGTTTTAATTATCGACTCTTTCAAGCTATATAGCGTGCTGCTGTTG